GTTTTACAATAATTCTAAGAAAAATTCATAAGCTTCCATGTATCATTTCTAGCAAATTTGCAATAAGGAATTTCATACTCCACAAATAAACAAGTTTTATAATAATTCTAAGAAAATTTCCATAAGCTTCCATGTATCATTTCTAGCAAATTTGCAATAAGGAATTTCATACTCCACAAATAAGCAAGTTTTACAATAATTCTAAGAAAAATTCCATAAGCTACCATGTATCATTTCTAGCAAATTTGCAATAAGGAATTTCATACTCCACAAATAAGCAAGTTTTACAATAATTCTTAGAAAATTTCCATAGCTTCCATGCATCATTTCTAGCAAATTTGCAATAAAGAATTTCATACTCCACAAATAAGCATGTTTTACAATAATTCTAAGAAAATTTTCATAAGCTTCCATATATCATTTCTAGCAAATTTTATCAATACAATAATATAGAGAATTCAATAATTAAGCATGTTTTTTTATACAATTCAACAATTATACATAATTGCATGCTTCATATACAACATCAAGTCATTTGAGAGGCAAATAATTCAAATTAATCATGTTTGACAACAAATATAGTTGAATGACTCACAAAAACACAAGAAAGTGAGAATTAGAGACCCCTACCTCAAAATAAGCAAAAACCCCCAAATTGTGAGCCCTAGATCTCGAAATTCCAAAGTGCACCAAACAAGAAATTACTCCTATCAATTCGTAGATCTCGGCGTGATCTTCAATTTGCCACAAAGGGCATCAAAAATCACTTAACGGCTTGAGAGAAATTGAAGTTTGAAGCTAAAATGAAAAAGAAAAATAAAAAGAGAACAGAGAGAAATAGAGGTCCGAGAGAGAAGGTGAGAAAATGAGGTCAAAGATTGACCGCTTGACACATTTTCTTGAATAAAATGGTGGGTCCCACTTGTATAATAGATTTTATTTTCTTTTTCTTATTAATTCACACTACCACCATATACATACATATATCAATCCCCAACCACATAAAACACATTAAATAAAAGTGCATGTGATGCAAATGGACCCTACCAAAATCCCCGTATGCAACAATTCCGGAAAAAAATGAAAAATGGTGAAATTTAGAAACATCGCATTATTTTTTATTTTTTCCATTCTTATGAAATTCAATTTAAGCAAGGTTGAGATCTAAACCAAAAATAAAGGAGTTGAAGCTTCCATTGGGCATATACTCATAAATTAACATTCTCTCTTCTCCTTCAACACAGCATCCCAAAAGCCTTACAAGATTTCGATGTTGTAGTTTTGCAATCAATAAAACCTTATTTTTAAATTCATGAAGTCCTTGTTTTGAATTCTCTGAAAGCCTCTTAACTGCAATCTCTTGTCCAGATGCTGGCTAACCCTATAAAATCATTTAAATACAAGACTTTTTCAGCTATCACGCTAAAAATTGGAGTTTTGCATCATACATGAACGAACACACACAAGAAACTCTCTCCACACAAACACACCCACACCCACACCATATGTTAATCATTACATACTTCAACTTGAGATTACCTTGTATAGCAAGAGCATTCTCTGTATATATACACACACCACATGTTAATCATATTACATACTTCAACTGAGATTACCTTGTACACAGGTCCAAGGCCACCCTCTCCAATCTTATTTAAATCAGAAAAATTGTTTGTTGCTTCCACAATGGTGATCATATTAAAAATAGGTAATTCCATATTTTCTTCATCTCTAGCTTGAGAGTCTAATAGCATTCCTGTTAATCACAATAGGTTCGGGAATATAGAACTCATATTATTTTGGATCAAAAGAACATTTCCAAACATAAAACTGGACCTTTTGGCCAGTTGGGGTGTAAGTTTTTTTTTTTTTGTTTTTTTGATAACCCATAACTCCCCAAGACAAGACCTTTACGGACCCTCTCCTGGGGCACCAAACTAGGGATACTGCAGCTGGCCCCGCATACCACAGTACCAGGATGAGTCAAGGAACTAGCAAGGGGGTAAGGCTTGAACCTGGGCGAAGAATATTGTCTAAATAACTTCCCCAAAATTTTTTAAACTTCCAAAAAAGAATATAGTTTGAAATGGGTTATAATAAAAAGTAATATAAATTGAACTCAGGTATTATTAAATTCATCAAAACCTGGATTTTTGCAATAAAGGTTGTAACTTTACCTTGTCTCTGTACTTTCCTCTTCCATATTATGCAAGAAGCAACAAGAAGCATTACTATAGCTACTGATACAACAATCATCACCAACACCAGTGGTTTCATCTTCTTGGAATTTGATATCAATTCTACGAACCAATTCAATTAGAAAAACAATCCAAGGGTTAATCAACTTGATTTTAGTATAATCTTAAACGAAAAAAGAAGAGAAATATACCTAGATCAGAAGCTGTAACCCGAATGTATAATTTTTGATTGCTAGATTCTATTATCCGTCTAATATCAATCAAGTCCTCATACCTCAGCAAGCAACCACTTCCCCCTCCGGTAACGTATGAATTAGCATAATGTCACGCCCCGCCTATGGAGGTTGTACCACGCAGGTGACACGCAGACGCTAAGGAGGACGCTGCATGGCAACTGCATGGCAAGTGGAGTTTCTAGAGTCTTCCGGAGTAGTCTAGAGTTGTGTGGAAGATTCTAGATATGTGTAGTATATTCTAGAAGTGTGTGGAAGGTTCTAGAATTCTCCAGAATTGTGTGGAGTAGTATGGAGGGTTATAGAATGTTGTAGATATGTATGGAGATGTGTAGAAGGTGGAAGAAGATTCTAGATAATCAATCTCCACCGTTGGTTAGAATGCATCCTAGCCATCCATTAGGGATGGGGATGCCTATAAATAGGAGTAGGACTTCATTTTGCAAACAACAAGTCCTGGAGTGAGTCTTGAGAGCCTTGTAGAGAGCTTGAGTGTTAGCCTTGTACAAAGCATTCTTTGAAGTAATAGAAGTGTTCTTTCCTTGCCAACTTAAGTGCCTTAGTGTGTGTGAGTGTGCAAGCCAAGTGAGGAGAGGGCAAGGGCAACTACAACACTAGTAAGCGCGCGAGGGGAGTGTGTTGGCTAAGGTGTGCACGGGAGTTAGGCTGACCAAGTACTTGCGAGAGTGAAAGCAACGTCTTGGTGCCGCACGGGAGCAGCTAGAGTGGTGCTGAAACTCTAAGCCCGTGACAGTTGGTATCAGAGCCAGGTTCGTCAAGGGAGCTTTGTTGGAGTGGACATGGCTAGCGGAGGAGACCACCAAGTCCACGTCTTGGAGCAGAGCTTGGAAGAGAAGCTTGCCACACACTTGGTCTACACGGAGACCAAGTTTAACAGGCTCGAGAGAAAGATGGCAGAACTCTACGAGCTGATTGACGGCATTGCCAACAAGGCGCGAGAGAAGGAAAGGGACTTGTATGATCAGGTAGACGACTTGCGCGTGGAGATTGCCGAGTGCAAGAAGGAGTTCTCCCAGGCGCGCGAGGTCGTGGTGAAGCCAAGGAAGAAGAAGGCGCCGGAGCCCAAGGAGTACGATGGGGCAAGGAATGCGCGCCAGATTGACAACTTCTTCTGGCACATGGAGCGGTACTTCGAGTGCATGGAGATCGAGGATGATGAGGAGAAGGTGCAGACAGGCACTATGTACCTCACGGACACTGCCGCTCTATGGTGGAGACAGCGCTTCACCGGTAGGGGCGCAAGAGCAGTTGATACATGGGAGGAGTTCAAGAGGCAGCTCAAGAGGCAGTTCTACCCTGAGTGCGTTGAGGACCTCGCCATGATCAACCTAAGGCGCCTGAAGCAGAAGGGCAGCATAAGGGAGTATGTGAAGGAGTACTCCAACTTGATGCTGGAGATCCCAGAGATGCCGGAGCGGCAACGTGTGTGCTTGTTCATTGATAGGCTGCAGTCTTGGGTGGCCACGGAACTAAGGAGGAGGGAGCCTAGAGACTTGGCATCCGCAATGGCTATAGCGGAGCGCCTCGAAGACTTTAGGCGCGATGACAAGAGGGCCACGTCTCCCAGGAGGGACCACGGCAAAGGTGGGGGAGACCGGCGCTTCAAGAAACGGGGCTCGCCCAAGTCTAGTGATGATGAGCACAGCGATGAGGAGAGACGCCCACGCCATGATAAGGGCAAGGACCATGGAGAGAGGTCTAAGGCTAGTGGCAAAGGGGAGCGCCGCGATAAGGGCAAGTGGGAGCCGAAGTGCTACTTGTGCGAAGGGCCGCACATATTGCGACACTGCCCCAACAAGAAGACTATGAGCGCCCTTGTGAAGGATAAGGGCAAGGGCAAGGTGGATGATACGGGCAGCGACGAAGACAGGTGCATGGGGACTATGCAGATGCTGAGTAGCATGGCGCATGACACCAAGAAAAAGGGTAAGGCGAAGAAAGTAGCTGGGGTGCGCTATGTGAATGCGCAGGTTGGTGGCAAAGCCGTGCAAGCGTTGGTGGACACGGGCGCCACACACAACTTCATTACCCCAGAGGAGGCGCAACGACTTGGCTTGGAGATGCGCAAGACGGAGGGATGGATCAAGGCCGTCAACTCCGAGGAGGCACGCGTGAGTAGAGTGTGCAAAGAGGTGGAGCTATGCTTGCAAGGATGGAAGGGCAAGGCCGACTTCCAAGTTGCGGAGATGGACGACCATGACATGGTGCTGGGGCTGGAGTTCATGGACAGGAACAACGCCGCGCCACTACCATGCCTTGGTGCGTTGATGATACTTGGAGGCGAGGAAGGCAAGGCCACATGCATGGTGCCGCTCGTGGGCAGGAAGGAGAGTCCAGAGGTGGCAGTCAACACGATGGAGCTCGTGAGGACTTCACATCTCCCGAAGGGCGCTCGTACGTTTGGGCCAAGGACATATGCGCAAGTGCTGATGACCTGCGAGAGGCTGGGTCAGTTGAAGAAACCGTGACGAGGGCGTCACGGAAATGGGTGGGGGAGAATGTCACGCCCCGCCTATGGAGGTTGTACCATGCAGGTGACACGCAGACGCTAAGGAGGATGCTGCATGACAACTGCATGGCAAGTGGAGTTTCTAGAGTCTTCCGGAGTAGTCTAGAGTTGTGTGGAAGATTCTAGATATGTGTAGTATATTCTAGAAGTGTGTGGAAGGTTCTAGAATTCTCCAGAATTGTGTGGAGTAGTATGGAGGGTTCTAGAATGTTGTAGATATGTATGGAGATGTGTAGAAGGTGGAAGAAGATTCTAGATAATCAATCTCCACCGTTGGTTAGAATGCATCCTAGCCATCCATTAGGGATGGGGATGCCTATAAATAGGAGTAGGACTTCATTTTGCAAACAACAAGTCCTGGAGTGAGTCTTGAGAGCTTTGTAGAGAGCTTGAGTGTTAGCCTTGTACAAAGCATTCTTTGAAGTAATAGAAGTGTTCTTTCCTTGCCAACTTAAGTGCCTTAGTGTGTGTGAGTGTGCAAGCCAAGTGAGGAGAGGGCAAGGGCAACTACAACACTAGTAAGCGCGTGAGGGGAGTGTGTTGGCTAAGGTGTGCACGGGAGTTAGGCTGACCAAGTACTTGCGAGAGTGAAAGCAACGTCTTGGTGCCGCACGGGAGCAGCTAGAGTGGTGCTGAAACTCTAAGCCCGTGACAATAAGCTGTACAGGAACAGTTCTTCAAGCACTCCATTTTACAATCGTTAGGGCTCATACTAGTGTTGATCCAAAACTGCAAGAAGTCGGGCAATTTTATACCCCTCATCTCTATAAATCCTTCTCCTTTGGAACAATTCAACGGTTCTTTCCTAATACACCCACCAGACCCGATCACCATTTCCCAATCTTGAGCTACTGCTTGTGCAAATACTATTAGAACCACACTGGCCATACTCATGACAATCCACTTGAGGGTGCTATTGTTCCATACATGACGTTTGACTAAACCCGAAGAACTTAAGACTGCCCTTGTAACAAGAGATTCATTGTTGAGACCATACCCATAATACATCTCCTCTGAATTTGTGACGACCTTGGTGTTGAAGAGATGGTTGGGTAGATGAAGGATTCCACTGAAATGCTCACCATCCCATGGCCCACTTCGGAAGTTCTTGATAGAGCCCTTTTGGATGACTAATTGTGGAAGCCCACGAGCATCGATGCCATAAGTAAATTCTCCTGGAGCAGGGTCATCTGCACTCTTCCATGACGTCAAATACCAGTTTAAGCCATTTTTGAAATCCCTTCCTAGCTTCATTCCTGCTAGCAGGCTATCAAAAGGATGATCAAAGCTTCGCCAAATATAACCATCTCTGCTTTCATGTCTCAAAACAAGATTTCCCGAGTCTAAGAGCTGCGCAACAGTTGAATTTGATGATAAATTCTTGACATTCGTAGACCAGACAACTCTTTCTCTATGGTCTTGAAGAATCAAATTTCCATCATCACCAATCTTCAGAATACCCCGATCAATCATTAAGTGGGTTATCTCGATTTGCAACCCACACTACAGTTTGAGTTGGGATGCTGTCAAACCATATTCCCAAGTATTGCTGGTTTCTGGAATTGGTGGGACTGAAGAAGCCAAGCCGGAACTTTTTTCCGGCGGATAGTAAGGTCATGGTTCCATTGATTGACTGGTATCGACTTAGATGATCAGCGGCTAAGGAGATATCTGTAAGGTACAAAAATATGAAAGCAAAAATGTAACAGAATTTAGCAAAGAAGTTGATGCCCATTGACACAAACAGTTGTGTCTTGTGATGCTACAGAAAGGGGACTTCCACTTACAATAGAAACCCAAAGACGGAGTCTGGATACTTAATCGGAGAAGAAGGGTCAAACGAAGGGGCTATGCCTATTATATTATTATCATTTCCTAACTAATTTAAGGACATTGGGTTCTGCTCGTCTCCCACGTCTTCTGTGATTGAATAAACAAAATCTTGTCAATTCTTCTTGCATGTGGATTTCCTCTCATCTCAATTAATTGTCCACTTCAGATGGAATACAGTATTTGGAAAGAAAATATCAAAAAACCAATAAATTCAAATGTAGTGACCGGAGTCAAACATGTGAAAGTCTAAATAATACAACAGAATCCAAATAAGTTCCTCTGGTAGGGGATGTGGCCCAACAAAAGTACCACATGTGTCCTAAATTAAAAAAATTGGATTAGACCCATTCACTACGGGATAACCGGGTTAGAACCCATGCCAAATCCCACTGTCTGTATATCTGAATCTCTAGCCGTGTTACCCTTTCGAATTTAATTCGAAATTCATATCTCACATCTGATATGGCAATGATTAAATGATAAAAATATCTTTACTTTGATACATATTACACTTTCTTCCAAACAGTAGGAATCTGATATTATAATTAGTTTGTGCTCTTCCATATATATGTGTGTAATTATATATATATATATATATATATATATATATATATATATTTGTGTTTCCAATAAGTCAAAAAAAAAAAAAAAAAAAAAAAAAAAACTGAATTTTGCATTGAAGAGAGGTGAGAACTACAAATCAAACTTTTATTGTATGGTACATATTTAACGTTTTCTCTCCCTAAAACTCTAGGAAGCGAGTCTGTATTTATCTAATTATAGATGGCGGCTAGAAACTTAGGGTTGTTATTCACGAGAAAGAAGCCACCCCAAAAGTGTTGGTCAAAGAAATGATGGAATAAAAATGCAGAGATTTAAGAGAAATGATGTTTAAAACAAAGATTCCGGCATAAATTGAATTCATGTTATTGAATTATGTTTGGATTTGAATTCTAGAAGGATGAAGATTTAAGGGACAATTGATTTTAAACGAAGTAGAAATTGAATAATTATGTTGAGATTTGGATGCTATAATGATAATTACCTTTCATTTTTAATGAGAATTAACTCTATTTATTCTTTCTATCATATCTTTTACTCTCTCTCAAGCAAATTGCTTTCACAATATATAAGTTGCCAAATCATTAGCCAACTAATTCGAGTTATTTTCGTGGTACAATAATTTGTGATGTTTAGCATTTTCCTATTTCAGTATCTTTGTGCCATCACCCAACAACTATAAGCATGTCCCGTCAAGTAATTACTTGCATAATTACCACTATGCTATAATTACATTAAAAGAGTAGTGGACGAGGCTCTGACATTGCAAGTTGGGTAAGGTCAGATGTATGCATCGGCGACATTGCAAGTAGGGTAGGGTCATATGTATGAATCTTTGATCGGTTGAGAATTTGATTTATAATAAATCAACCTTCGCAATAGCACGAATCATTGTAAAATAGGGCTATTGGTCGGGTAAGTCGAACCACTGGGACTGCGCTAATCTATGACAACCTAAGTGTCTAGAGTCTTTTTAGAATGATACGAGGTGTTCATAGAGGATTTGTTGGCTGTCACTTAAGTTATGAAATTAAGATGCATAAAATAAAAGCTTGCAAGAATTTAAAGGAGATGAAATACAAGTAAAGAGGATTAGGGAAGTGAATCCGCCTCCATCCCTATACACATGTTAAATTAGAGCTAAATTGGGGGAAAAACAATATATGATGGTCAAGAAATATATAGCAACACATAGTTGCCATATAATCAACAAGATGTACATTAAATCTCAAGCAAGCATGATCCATCAAAGGTGAATATGTTTAGACTACCTAACTAAAGTGTAGCTTAACCACATTTACTTGAATGAAAGATTATCAAGCCCTAGATAAAATGATGAAGCACATGAAGGTAAGAAATAAGCATAAACCATCAAAGGCATCACCTAAGTAATGATCTATCAAAGTACTTATCAACATGCCATTAAACCATTTCATAACCTTGTCTCCATTCTCACCATGAAAACTCAAGCAATATGATTAATATAAGACGTCATCTAAAACAAGATAATCAACTTAAAGAAATTATCCACACAAATATCAACATTCATTACAACAAATAAAGTGCTCTTGGTTATAAAAAGGCCATAGAATATATATTGTAATCCCCAAAATAGAGCTATACTAGATCATGCTTACAAGGGAGGGACTTCATCATCTCCCTAGAGGAAGAATTAGTTACCCATGGAAGCCCTGGAAGAAGGAGAAAGCTTGGATTTTGCAAAATGAGATATGATATGTGTGATCCATGGCTCCCCTTCCTTTTAAACATCTTGTCCACCAAACCCCACCAAACAAGGCCCTCTCTTTCTTTTCAAAAGACATCTCCAACCAATTCATAAAGATGGAAATCAGAATTGAGGGAATCAAGGTGTAAGTGGGCTGAAATGATGGTTCCCAGAGAGCATTCTGCCCAATTTTCGAGCGCTCGAAGAAAGCCCTTCGAGCGCTCGAAGTTTCATCAGCTTGCACTCTTCCACTTGATCTGTTTTGCACTATTTTGGTAAAACAGCCATAACTTTTTCTTCCGAACTTCAAATGACAAACCGTTTGATGATTTGGGAAGCTAATTCAAAGTTCTAAAAATGCCATGTTTTAATGGAAGTCCAGTTCTCGAGTTTGTTAGGTCAAAAATGGCAAGCAAAGTCAAACTCCACTGCTGCCAGAACTTCAGCATTGAGCACATTATTATTCAAAGATTTAACAAAACATCATTTTTGCTCCTTTTTGGCCAATGAACCTAAAAATATATAAAAAAAAACATACAAATGAAGATAATCTACAGAAAAATAATCAAATAATGGACTTAACTAATGCGATTTAGGGCGCTTAAATATGCAATATTCGGCGCTTATCAATCTTTACCTCCATGACAGTCTCATTGTTTCAAACTCCTAACCACATTATCAAAATATATATATTTGCAATGCTAAAAACAACCCTTACAAAAAACAATCAGATATAATCAAAGACAAAAAGGCTATTATAGAAAAACATAAGAAATCAAAAAAAAAAAAAAATTATAGATTCCATTTTACTGATGAGAAGAATGAGTTGTGATTGATGGATTGGGACTCACCTTTTTGCCATCGATGGTATGCTCCTGATCAAGAACATGGAGTGGTGATTAAAGGGTCCGCAGACTTGAGGAAACCGTAGGCTTTGAAGCGACCTGTCACAAACTTGAACCTTTCCAAGCTCCCGTGCAGCCTTAGACACTTTCAAGCCCCCTTGAAGTGCTAAGTCAGCCTACCCGAGTGTGCTAACTTAGTAAAGACTAAGGCTAGACAAGTGCTTTGCTAACTTGGGTGTGTAGGAAGAGATTAGGCAAGTGAGCAAAGAAAGTTTGGGAATGTATGAACACTTGTATTACTTGAGAGGAGATTACAACTTAGGTTGCTTGGTGAGGAGCAAATGAATTCCCACCTCCTATTTATAGGCCTTTGGCCCTTACAAGAACATTCTAGATGTATACAAATGTGTGGCCTAGATTGAGTGTCTAGAATCCTCCATCTACTCTAGACAAGTCTAGAAAAGGCTAGACAATTCCACACTAATCTAGAGAATTCTGGAAAGTTCCATACTTGTGTAGAGAAGTCTAGAAAGCTCTGGTCCATGCAGGCTCCATGTCATCGTCTACTGGGCGTCTGCGTGGCGTACCTCTTGGTTGCGGGGCGTGACATTCTCCCCTACCTAAGCTCGCGACGCCCTCGTCGCGTCTTTTTGCTTGAACCGCTGGATATGCTCCGTGAATTGCCAAAGTGTATCCTCGTGCTCCCAGCTCGCCTCACTATCTGGCAGGTTCTTCCATTTTACTAAGTACTCTGTATACTTGGGCACATTTCTCCTGCTCATCACACGATCCGCAAGGATGCAATCAACTTCCTTGTCAAAGGATGTGACAACGGCCGTGGGTGCCCTATGTGATATGCCCCGAGTAAGGTCTTCCGTGTCTTCATGATAAGGCTTGAGCATGCTGACATAGAAGACTGGATGTATCTTCAACTTCGGTGGAAGCTCCACCATGTAGGAGACCTTGCCCACCCTCTTAACAATGGGGAACGGGCCCTCGTACCTCCTTTCTAGCCCCTTATGCACGCTCCGAAAGAACTTAAACTGTTGGGGTAGTAACTTAACCATCACATGGTCTCCCACTATGTACTCTACCCGCCTTCGCTTGGTGTCGGCCCACTTCTTCATCTTCTTTGCCGCCTTGTCAAGGTACGCCCTAGCCAAGTCAGATTGCTCATGCCACCTCTTGGCAAATTTGTAGGCCGCTGGACTCTTACCATCGCAAGTCGAAGCAATGGCGTTGGGTGTCATAGGCTGCCGTCCGGTAATAACCTCAAATGGACTGTGACTGGTAGCCTCACTCCGTTGCAAGTTGTAAGAAAACTGTGCCACCCCAAGGAGTTTGGTCCAATCTCGCTGATTGGCACTCACATAGTGCCTCAAATAAAGCTCCAGGAGAGCGTTGATGTGCTCCATCTGCCCATCTGATTGGGGGTGGAAACTCGTAGAGAAGTTGAGATCCGTCCCCATCTTCTTGAAGAGCCCCGTCCAAAATCTACCCGTGAAGCGCGGGTCCCTGTCACTGGCAATGTTTTATGGAACTCCCCAAAGCTTGACCACATGGTCAACAAATAATTCTACTGCCCTCTCTGCCGTGCAATCTACTGGTGCGGGTATGAAGGTGGCATACTTGCTAAACCGATCTACCACCACTATATGCTCCCGTAACCTTCTGACTTGGGTAAGCAAGTAATGAAATCCATAGAGACACTCTCCCATGGTCTCTCTGGAATAGGCAATGGCTTTAGTAGGCCTGCAGGATGCTGTTGCTCAATCTTGTCTTGTTGGCACACAAGACAAGTCCTGACATATGTCTCCACATCATCGCACATCCGAGGCCAATAATATGAATCTTCAAGGAGTGCTAATGTGCGCCGCATACCTGGGTGACCAGCCCATTTGGTGTCGTGGCACTCCCGTATCAACTCCTTTCGCAAGTTACCCCACCTGGGCACAAAGAGTCGGTCCCTTATAGTGAGAAGTAAATCATCCCTTAGCCAAAAGCGTCGAGTCTTCCCTTCCTTAGCCAGCTGAATAAGGCTTTTGGCTAGAGGGTCATACTGCAACTCCTTCTTGATCCGTTCCACAAGAGGGTGCTGGGGCCAACTAACAGCTGCGAGCTCGACCTTGCGACTAAGCGCATCCGCTACAATGTTAGCCTTGCCTGGCTTGTATTCAAAATGATAAATGAACTCCGCTAAGAAGTCCTGCCATCGAGCTTGCTTGGGGCTGAGCTTCTTCTGTGTCTGGAAGTAGCTGGTGGCAACATTATCCGTCTTGATCACAAATTGTGCCCCGAGCAAGTAGTGCCTCCAAGTGCGTAGGCAATGGATGACTGCTATCATCTCTTTCTCCTGCACCGTATAGCGCCGCTCGGTGTCATTAAGCTTGCGGCTCTCATAAACTATGGGGTGTTCTTCCTGCATCAACACGCCCCCAATAGCGAAGTCTGAAGCATCCGTGTACACCTCATATGGCTTGGAGTGGTCGGGCAAGCTAAGCACCGGCTCCTCTGTGACTGCCCTCTTCAAGTCATCAAATGGCCCCTGGCATGACTCTGTCCAACTCCAAGCACGAGCTTTCTTGAGAAGGTCTGTCAATGGGGTTGCTCTTGCGGAGTAACCCTTGATGAAGTGGCGGTAGTAGTTGATAAGCCCAAGAAATGAGCGTAGCTCTGTCACCTTAGTGGGCGGCTCCCACTCTTGAATAGCCCTCACATTTGCCTCATCCATCATCAGCTTGCCATCCAGTATCTTATGCCTTAGGAACAACACCTCCTCTTGGGCAAAGGAGCATTTCTCAGTCTTCATATATAGGTCGTTCTCCCTTAGAACTTGAAAGACCGCCCTCAAGTGTTGCACGTGCTCCTCTAGAGTGGTGCTATACACAACAATATTATCCAAGTACACCACCACAAAGCGATCCAAGTAGGGATGGAAGAGCCTGTTCATTAAAGTATAGAAAGTAGCAAATGCATTGGTGAGGCCAAACGGCATAACAAGAAACTCATAAAAGCCATACCTCGTCACACATATAGTCTTAGGCTCATCCCCGTCCGTTATCCGCACCTGGTAGTACCCCGAGCACAAGTCTAGCTTAATGAAGTAGCGTGTTCCACCAAGCTGATCAAAAAGATCGATAATGAGAGGAATGGGGTATTTGTTTTTGATAGTCACCTTGTTGAGTGCCCGGTAGTCGATGCACATAAGCAAGGACCCGTCTTTCTTCCTCTAGAACAACACTGGGGCGCCATATGGGGCCTTAAAGGGTCGAATGTAGCCCGCATCTAACAGCTCCTTGAGTTGCCTCCACAACTCCTCCAACTCTGGGGGTGCCATCGGTAGGGCACTAAAGCAGGGGGTTTAGAACCCGATTCCAGCTCAATCTTATGATCCACCTCCCTCCTAGGTGGAAGCTTCTTGGGCAGCTCCTTAGGCATCACGTCCGTGTACTCGTCTAGCACGGCTCATATCTCCTTAGGCATCTCTTTTTGTGGGGAAGGGATTAGCTCATCATCGGGTGTCTCCAACAACGTAGCAAGGTAGCTAGTCTCTCCCTTCTTGAAGCCCTTCTTGAACTGCATAGTTGACAAGGCTTGGGCTTCCAATTTGGTGCCTCGCTCCACCGGCACCATGCATGCTGTGTTGCCTTCCATAATACACATAGTGTTAGTAAAAAGAATGGGAAAGACTCTCACCTTGTCTAAGAACTCCAACCCAAGGACTAGTTTGAAGTCGTCCATGGGTACCACCGATAGGTCTATGTGGCCACCCCACTCGCCAATGCATGCTCTGACGCCGTGTGCCATGCCATGTATAGCCTTCCCTGCTGAGTTAACTGCCTTCATGGAGTCCCCTTCTTTGCTATACTTGAGGCCCAACCTCTTGGCCTCGTCAAGGCTCACAAAGTTGTGGGATGCACCCGTGTCCACCAAAGCACGTGTGGGTGTCCCATTGATGCTCACCTCCATGAACATTAGCCCCTTAGCCGCCGCCTTAGGGAATTCAGTTTTAGCCTTGATGGCATTAAGGGTTTGCAGTGAACCCATCTACGCCTCCTGTTGCTGTTGTTGCTCCTCATAGTGGCTTGTCATGGCATTGAGGGTTTTCCTCTTACGGAAATCTCTCACTCAATGTGGCCCATCACATATGAAGCAAGAACCCTTAGGCTTGGGTGTTCCTTCCTTGTTCTCCCTTCCCTCTTTGCCACCATGGCCATCAACTGGCTTATGGGACCAATCCTTGTAGGGTGCAGCGCCCTTGTCTCCCCCACCTTTGCCAGCATACCTCCCCTTGTCCTTGTCTTTGTCTTTTGGCTTGGATGAGGGTTCCTTCTTGGAGCTGAAATCAATAAAGAACTCCGCCTCTACAATAGCTGTGGCAAGGTCTTGCACGTTGCGCCGCCTCAACTCCGTCTTGGCCCACAACTATAGACCATCCATGAAGAAGCTTGTCGGATAGATCCGGGATCTCAAGAGTCAAGTTAGTGAATTCTTTCACATAGTCCCGAATCGACCCAACTTGTTTTAGCCTTTGGAGTCTGCCCCTGGCTTCATCCTCGGCATTCTCAGGATAGAAATGTTTCTTAATTTCTTTAGTGAAATCAGCCCAAGTATTAATAGAGACCGTTCCTTTGCCCATGTCACCATACTTTTTCCTCCACCATAGCATGGCATGGTCAGTGAGGTAGTGGGTCGCCATGCGTATCTTGATGGTCTCATTGGTCATGCCAATAGCCTCAAAGTATTGCTCCATGCTGAAGAGGAAGTTCTCCAACTCCCTCGCTACCCGGTTCCCACTATAGTACTTAGGCTTAGGAATATTAACCCGGGGTGCTACTACCCTCGTAGTAGCTGTGCCGGACGCCACCGCCCATTTGCACAATGTCCAGTCCGCTCGCATTTCCTCCATTTGCTAGCAGAAAATGCCAAGCTCCTGATCAACATAGCCACGTAGGGTGGCAAACTCCCCCAATATAAGTTCTCGAAGTGCTTGGAGCTCCTGCCGAAAGTCACCACTTAGGGTATTGAGTGACCCTTTGACAGCATTTTGGACCTCAGCGTCGTCCGACTCCAGCTCATCCATGCGCTGGTGAACATCCTCAAGCTGCTCCAACACGTTGGCTATAGACCCCTCCATGTTTGCCACACGTGCCTCTAAGCCCGCCATGATGTCCTTCGACCTAGCCCTCGTCCTCACTCCGACTGGAGGGGGATTTGTTTCCCTTCCACGTAGATCCTCCTCTTGGGTGCCAGTCACGTCTGATAGCTCCATCATAGCTTCCTCCACACAAGGTGTGATGCCTCACGACCTTAGCTCTGATACCAACTGTCACGGACTTGAACCTTTCCAAACTCCCGTGCGGCCTTAGACACTTTCAAACCCCCTTGAAGCGCTAAGTCAGCCTACCCGAGTGTGCTAGCTTAGTAAAGACTAAGGCTAGACAAGTGCTTTGCTTACTTGGGTGTGTAGGAAGAGATTAGGCAAGTGAGCAAAGAGAGTTTGGGAATGTATGAACACTTGTATTACTTGAGAGGAGATTACAACTTAGGTTGCTTGGTGAGGAGCAAATGAACTCCCACCTCTTATTTATAGGCCTTTGGCCCTTACAAGAACATTCTAGATGTATACAAATGTGTGGCCTAGATTGAGTGTCTAGAATCCTCTAAAGAAATATCTACACAATTCTAGAACTATGTACAATGTTCAAGACAAATCTAGTGAATTCTAGAGAATTCTATACAACTCTAGACAAGTCTAGAAAAGGTTAGACAACTCCACACTAATCTAGAGAATTCCGGAAAGTTCCATACTTGTGTAGAGAAGTCTAGAAAGCTCCGGTCCATGCAGGCTCCATGTCATCGTCTGCTGGGCGTTTGCGTGGCGCCTGCGTGGCGTAGCCTCTTGGTTGCGGGGCGTGACAGACTGCTGATCTCTTCATCATGAATCTAAAATCCAAATACAATTGAAAGTACTGCGACTACAGACATAAAGTAAGAGAAGAAGCAAAGGGTTCCCCACTTTCCTGAGATTTTCAACACCAAAACCAAGGATAAGTGGGGTTATATGTTTTGGACCTTTTCAATATTTTCTCTCCCCAAATTATCATGTTTGCTTAGCTTAAATTTGTATGAAAATTAAGTAGATAATTACACAAATGATGATGTGACATATTTTTATCTAATTTAATACTCTATTTGATGAGATAGAAATAGCATGAAAGAAATCGAAATTTCTGAACATCTTAAGTTAAGCAAGAAAATAAAATTATTTCACATAATCACCTAACTTTCTCATGAAATTTTCCTATAATAAAAAAAATAATAAAAAAATAAAAAAAATTGATTTCTTCAAAAAAAAATAATAATAAATAAATAAAGGTTTATCTTATGGTAAGTCTTATACTATTCAATCCATCAAATGATATTTTCCTCTAATTTTTTTAGAAAAAAAAAAAAATTTCAAATCTCTCTCTCTCTCTCTCTCTCTCTCTCTCTCTATATATATATATATATATATATTATATTATTAAAAATAAAAAGTGTTTCAAATCATTTAATTTTTAATTAAAAAAATCTAATTAAAGAAGAAAATATAAAATACTAAAAAAAGTAATTTATTTAATGTAATGAAAGAAAGTCTAAACTTATTTATTTAATTCAATAAAAAGAAATCTAATTAGAGAACTAACAATAATAATATAGTAGTAGGAAATATAAATGAAATTATTATAATTAGATAGTGAAATGTATAATATGTCCTACTATTAATAATAATATAGTAGTCGAAAATTTAATTAGAGAAGAAAATATATCTATATCTATATCTATACTATTATTAAAAATACAAAGTGTTTTACTATTTTAGTAAATTCAACAAAAGTAAATCTAATTAGAGAATGAAATATAGAATATTAAAAAATTAAACTATTGACATTCAATAAAAGAAAATCTAATTCGAGAAGGAAATAAATAATGTTAAAAAAATTATTTAGTTAATTCAATAAATGAAATGTAATTAAAAAATGAAATACAAATAATAATGATAGAGTGATAGGAAATACTGTAATTCAATAAATGAAAATCTAATTACAAAAATAAATATATAATATTAAAAAACTAATAATAAATAAAAATTTAATTTATTTATTTAATTCAATAAACAGTAATGTAATTAAAAAATGAAATACTAATAATAATGATAGAGTAGTAGAAAATACTTTAATTCAATAAATATAGACCAAAACGGGAGATTCTTAGAGTGAAGGTACATGCCAAAAAAATGAGGTGATTGCTTCTTTGTAGCTGTTAACTCTATAGCTATCAAGCTTTACTATATATGCTTCTGGTTTACTCCTGCATTATTTCATTTCTTTTCCATTTTACTTACCTAGTTTTGCAAGCTTGTAAACTATTATTATGCCAATCAACTGGTAATGAAAAATAGTTTGCAAGTTAAAGGTATGTCGATCAGTTCCATTTATTGCCTTCATGTTATCTTAATTCACTTTTAATTTATTGCCTTTATTTTCAGTGTAATTTTCTTTATTTTTCAGTACCAATAGTTAATATAAGTCTTTTCTGATTAGTTCAACTGAGGAAAGTCCTAGGAACGACTAGGGTTGTAACTCGGGCGGGCCCAATCGGAAATAACCCAATCCTAGTCTGAAATTTTGTGGACTTGGACAATATTTTTCTAATTTCGGTTTGGGCATGTGCTATATATTTTGAGCCCGAATTCAATTCGGGCTGGGCTTGAGTTGATATGGATGAAGCCGAAGTCTAACCCAAGCTCAAAAATATTATATATATATATATATATATATATATATATTTATAATTATATTTAAGTCACAAGAGTGTAGTAGTCAAGTTGGTAGTATCCTTGGGATTTATGCTTAAAGTTTTAGGTTTAAGTCTTGAGTGCAACATTAGTTGATTCATTTTTTACATACAAATTCTTTTGAGTGGGCTTAGTGCAAGCTCGGGTTGGACAAATTATGTATGGGCTGGGCTTGGGCAGCTCTGTTCGGGCTTAAGGTGGGCTTGGGCTGAAGATTTTTTATATAGGCCTATCCCGAGATGAGTACCAAGCCCGCCCAACCCACCCGAGTTGTAGTCCTAGGAACGACTAAGGCAAGAAAGAACCAACGAAAAGAGGGTCACTCCAGCTCCCATTAACTTGGTAACTAGGCCGTCCAACTAGCTAAAGTTAGGAATAGTAAAATAGTTTTGGGCCAAACTCGGCTATATCCTTCGGTCTGTCAGTTGAACAAAATTTTGTTGACACATACTATTAGAGTGGTCTTGTTCCCGTCGGATTCAGATTAGGGGTATGCACAATGACACAACATAAGCGTTTGGTGAGAAGGCAAGCGTCCGACCCGTTTATCCAGTCCAAGAGCCGATGTCACACCAAGCTTGATTTAATCTGCTTCGTTAAGTTGGTGACAAGGGAATTACATTTCACCTCCACTCTCGCTCTTTTAAGGACTAAACTCACATTACGGTCAGAGTGCATAACTGATCTTCATTTTTATTTTGGTCGACCATCAATCTTAATATGCTTTGTTAAGTTAAAGAAGAAAAAATTACTTTGCTTTGATCCATTGCTCAAACTCTCGCTCATTTGCTCTCTCTCTCTCTCTCTCCATAAACTTAAAACATACCAAAAAAACCTGTTTGTTGAACTAGGCCTTTGTTGATAAAGGCATAAGAACCTTTGAGAGGCTCATTTATGCTCTTCAAATAGCCTCAAGTCAGATAAGGGACGAGTCTACAACCCTAGCAGCATAGTAGCACCAAGAATATTTGCTTGACTTTATATACCTAAGTCTAAAGACCAACTTCACCGCAGATCGGACCGAACACAGTCCTTACAGGCCCACAGGTGAGGTAACTCAGGTGCACCCATTAGGGCACAGTTTAGGCCAAATGGATGGGAAATAGGTTGGGTGTGTACATGAGCGAGTATGTAATACTACCCAACAGCTTAAGCTTTTGCATCATTCGATCCTAAAAACAATATATACTATTTTTCCATTCTTTTTTACAGTTGGTACTGTGTTGAAGATCTATACCCACTATGCCCCTATGGAAATTTGAACTCTTCAACCTTGCATTTTGAAATAGCCCTTTGTTATTTTAATAGTACGTCGACTCATAAAAATCTCACAAGTGTGAGAGGCTGCAAATACATTCCACAAAAAACAGCTTACTCGAATCTACCATTACTCAAGTCTACCATCCTATTCTAATAAACACATATGGGTCAATAATCTGCTATAGAAATGGTCATCTGCTACTTCTACTGACCCTCTGCTATAGAAATGGTCGTCTGCAACTTCTAACGACCCTCTGCTATAGAAATGGTCATCTTATTTATTGTACAAGTTATTTCCTCTAGTCGAGACTGTGTCTCACAAGGGTTTCTATCTATGTAGAAACCAGGGTGTTTAGGCTGGGGCAACATTGTGTCCTCACTATCAAACATTAAGAGCACAGAGGACATCATTGGCCTGTCTTCGGGGCGTTGCTGCACACACAAGAGGCCCACCTTTATGCATCTTAATAATTCAGGCATTGGAAATGAATCCTCCATTTGTGGATCTATTAGCTCAAAGGCCTTCCCTTCATTCAGTAGATTCCATGCCTAACACATCATATATCATGAAAAAATTAACCTTACAGAATAACTACAAAGAGGAAGAAAAACAATTTTAACAATAAACTTACATGTCCAAGAAGGTTGTGGTCATGGTCTGGATGATGGAACTGTCTGTTCCTTTTCCCACTTACTATTTCCAAAACTAGCACTCCGAAACTAAAGACATCTGATTTCATGGAAAAGAGGCCATCGATGACATATTCCGGAGACATGTAACCACTGTGACATCGTAAGAAAAATAAAGAAATTAGTTAACAAAAGTTAACTTATATGCATGTACCTTAAAAGAATATTTTTGGCACTTACTAAGTACCAATCACCCTTTCGGTTTTTGCTAGTAATTGATCTCCGGCAAAAGCTCTGGCAATGCCAAAATCTGAGATTTTAGGATTCAACTTATTGTCTAGTAGCACATTGCTGGCCTTAAGATCCCTATGAATAATTCTCAATCTTGAATCACGATGAAGATAAAGAAGCCCTCGAGCAATGCCCACGATAATATCAAAACGCTTCTTCCATACAAGAGATTTACTTGCGTCATTTGAGCCACCTTCAAAAAAATAATAATAAAAAGTGCTTGTAACATAGAAAACAACTTTATCTAATACTTATTTTGCCAATTTATTTTTATTTTTATTTTTAATTTTATGTTTTTGGCATTATTATGAATTTCAATTTAGGCAAGGTTGAGAGACAAACCAAAAATAAAGGAGTTCAAGCTTCCGTTGGGCATATACTCATAAATTAACATTCTTTCTTCTCCTTCAATGCAGCATCCCAAAAGCCTTACAAGATTTCGATGCTGTAGTTTTGCAATCAATATAACCTCATTTTTAAATTCTTGGAGTCCTTGTTTTGAATTCTCCGAAAGCCTCTTGACTGCTATCTCTTGTCCAGTTGCTAGCTGACCCTGTAAAATTTAAAGTTAACACATAAACAGAAGCTATATATACACACACATGTTAATCATAATTACATATTTCAACTGGGATTACCTTGTATACGGGTCCAAATCCACCCTCTCCAATCTTACTTGAATCGGAAAAATTGTTTGTTGCTTCCGTGATGGTGATCATATTGAAAATAGGTAATTCCATGTTTTCTTCATTTACGGCTTCAGAGCCTGGTAGCACACCTATTAATCACAACAGGTTCAGGAACACAGAACTAACACTAGTTTGGATCATAAGAACATTCCTTAACTTGAAAACTAGACCTTTTGGCCATTTGGTGAATATTCACTAACATAAAAATAATCTACTGTAGTCAATATAGTTATAATATTGGTGTTATGGTCCAGAGGTTTGCATAAAATGCGTTCTCATTTTTCTGCTCTTCTACATAAAGAAACATTTCAGAATTTCATTTGAGACTTTTCAATTGAAGCAACCATTCGTCAAGAAAGGACAAACTATAACAATAAATAAGGACAATGTAACTTGCTGGAAGCTTGGACTTTATTTTTGAAGTACTCTTCGTTGAAAAATTCCCTTTATTTAGATAATAAAAATATATACAATTAGTAATAGTACAAAAGTCAAAAAGTCGTTGAGAAAACGATTTAGAGACATTGACGTTGTTATAACTTATAATTTTTTCAAGTAGCAGTCATAGAATGATGTTTAATTATATACAGAAGAAATATAAAAACAGTAGTCAATCATACAGAAGAAATATAAAAACAGTAGTCAATCCATACGTAATATGAATAGATTTTTTTATTTATTAATGGAACCATGGGATTAGATTCTCATTTAATCTTAGCACACATATTAGTTTCGACGCCTTGAAACCTGAAATGGATTCTTGGAGATCTATACACATATAAAATAAAAAAATACAAAAATAAAAAAGAAAGGGGAAAAAATGGGTTGCCGACCCATTATGATAACAAAACTTAATAGTAATTGAACTCAAGAATAATTAAATTCCTCAAAAACTGGATTTTGCAATAAAGGTTGAAACTTTACCTTGTGTCCGTACTTTCCTCTTCCATATTATGCAGGAAGCAACAAGCAGCATTAATACTAAAGATACTGGTACAACAGTGATCACCAACACTAGTGGCTTCATCTTCTTGGAACTTGATATCAAGTCTATGATCCAATCAAAATAAATAAAAAAATCCATGAAAGATTAAGGGGTTAGTTTACTTGACTTTGATATAATCTTAAACCAAAAAATAAAAGAAATATACCTAGATCCGAAGCTGTGGCACGAATGTAGAGTTTTTGATTACTAGATCCTGTTAAACTCTTCATATCAATCAGATCCCCATACCACAGTAAGCAACCACTTCCTCCTCCGGTAACATCAGAATTTGCATAAGCTGTACAAGAACAATTCTTCAAGCACTCCATTTCACAATCCTTAAGGCTCATACTAGTGTTGATCCAAAACTGCAAGAAATCGGGCATTTTTACACCTTTCTTCTCTATAAATCCTTCCCCTTTGGGACAATTCAATGGTTGTTTCCTAACACAGCCACCGGACCAAATCAGCATCTCCCAATCTTGTGCAACTCTGGGTACATATCCAGTCAAACAGCTGCAAATCCTAGCACCGCTGATTGTGCAAATACTATTTGAACCACACTGACCATAATTATCACATGGGTCGCTAGGCAAGACATGTATGGCAATCCATTTAAGGCTACTGACGTTCCATACATAACGTTGGACTGAACCCGAAAAACTTAAGACTGACCTTGTAAGAGTGGATTCATTGTTGAGTCCATACTCATAAGACATTTCCTCTGAATCTGTGACGACCTTGGGGTTAAAGAGAAGGTTGGGTATAAGGAGGACTCCACTAAATTGCTCACCATTCCATGGTCCACTTCGGAACATCTTGATAGAACCCTTATGGATGACTAATTGTGGAAGCCCACGAGGATCGATGCTATAAGTAAAATCTCCCGGAGCAGGATCATCTGCACTCTTCCACGATGTCAAATACTGGTCCAAACCATTTTTTGAGTCCCTTCCAAGCTTCATTTCTGCTAGAAGGGTATCAGAAGGATGGTCAAAGCTTTGCCAAATATAACCATCTCTGCTATCTTGCCTCAAAACAAGATTTCCAGAGTCTAAGAGCTGTGCAACAGTTGAATTTGATGATAAATTCTTGACATTCGTAGACCAGACAGCTCTTTCTGTATGGTCTTGAAGAATCAAATTTCCATCATCACCAATCTTCAAAATTCCTGATGAATCATTCAGCGGGTTATCGCGGTTTGCAACCCAGACTACAGTTTGAGTTGGGATGCTGTCAAACCATATTCCTAAGTATTGGTTTCTGGAATTGATGGAACTGAAGAAACCAAGCCGGAACTTTTTGCCGGCAGATACTAAGGTCGCGGTTCCATTGATTAACTGGTGTTGACTTAGATGATCATCTGCTAGGGAGATGTCTGTAAGGTACAAAAATGTGAAAGCAAAAATGTTATAGAATATAGCAAAGAAATCCATGCTCTCATTGTGGCATTGACACAAACGGTAGTGAGTCTTGTGATTCTATACCTATTATGTCATCACTTGCTAACTAATTTATAGACATTTTGCCCTGATCTTTTCTCCCAAGTTTTCTGATATTAAAAATAAATAGTCAATTGTACGTTGCATATGTACTTCTTCTCATCTCAATTATTTAAGGGTAATTTACACATACCTTTCCTATAGTTTACCCTAATTACAGGGAGCACCCTTCCTGTTTCAGAAATTACGTAGACTTCCCCTACTTTTGAAAATATCCTACATGGACCTCCCTTCTGTTATAGTCAACGGCAGTCAATGACGAAAATTGATGACATCATCTACTATTTTTACTAAAATTCCTAAAATACCCCTGTTCCTACCAATTGATATATATATATATATACACACAACCGTGATGAAGGGATCCACTTTCTGCTCTCCGACTAAGGCAAACGTATGGAATTTTATTTAAAGGAGTAAAATCAGAAGATGAAATAGGAAGGTGTAACAGAAGCGGAAAGTCTTCCCAAATCATATATATATATATATATATATATATATATATATATATATATATATATATATATCAATTGATCATCTTCTAGTAGTAGTAATATCTCATCAAGACCGTCCTTAAGCTCCACCTTCTTCTCTATTACATCATTATATATATGTGTGTGGGCGCGCGTGCACCACAATCTTGGTCTTTTCCTTTAGAACTGGGTTTTATTTGAGGTGTGTCTATATATATGTGTGTGTGTATATATATATATATATATTTATATTTATATATATGAATAAAGCAATTTGGGTATATATGTATTTAAAATTGGGGTTTTTCACCTACGAATTTTAGGTTTTTTCTTCTAATTTTATTTGTAAAATTAGGGTTTATTTTTTATTTCATTTAGGGTTTTATCAATTTCCACAACCAGTTGAGATTATAGCTGGGAATCATTATATTGCTCAATAAGAAAGCTGCGAAGATACGGAGAAAAATCTAATAAGAGAGATGCACAAGGAAATACATAGATGGTCATGTCAGATGTGGTGGTGGTCACGGCGTTGTGAGGATATCTTGTAGAGAGAGAAATAACTAAATCTTGTAGAGAGAGAAAACTTGCAACCGAAACACAGATGTAACGTCATGCCTACTCAATAATTTATGGGGATAGTTTAGTAATTTTAGAGATCAAGGAAAGGGTATTTCAGTAATTTTGATAAGTCCGTTAGTGTATTTAACGGTCCGTCACACATAAGGGAGGTTCGTGTAGAATATTTTTAAAAGTAGGGGAGGTCCGCGTAATTTTTGAAACAAGAAGGGTGCTCCTTGTAATTAGGGCAAATCATAGAAAAGGTCTGTATAAATTATCCATTATTTAATTGTCTACCTCAGAAGTAATATCGGTACGTGGAAAACAAATTAATGTCAAAAATAAATAAATAAAGAAATTTAAAGGCAGTGACAAAGCCGGAATTAAAACCATAAACAATAAGATTCTAAGAAGTTGAGATCAAAGAATTCTAATATGTTATTAATCCATAATGAATTACTAAATTCTAGCAATAGAAAGAATATGTTATTGCGGATGGCTTCGTAGCCCAAGCAGTGGGATTACCTTCTTAGTCAAAAAGATTGTAAGTAAGAATATGAATATAAAGATTGTAAGCACCAATGAAGTCAAAAAAACAATTAAGAAACAAATAAAGTGTTGAAAAAAAAAATCAAATAAAGCGTTAAAAAAAGAATAAAAACATGTCTTTGGAGTGCCATGGTATTTTAATTTTGTCTTTTATAAAATAAGAGCAAAATTGGTATTAAAAAAGTTTGATTATTCTTTATTTTTATTTCCTTTCATTTTCTCTCATTTTCTATTTTTATTTAAGGATAACAAAATCTTAATTTGTATATTTTCAAATCTTTCAATTTGATTTCTTTTCTTCAATAATTTATACCACACAATATATTTCTCTTGACTTATGATTTCTTTTTCTTACCATGAACTTTATTACATAACAATAATAGATGGAGTGACTTGCACTTATTAATCCAATTTTTATTTTATTTTATTTTATTTTACTTTTTGGCGTGCGTGTAAGTTGGACTTTATAAGAAAAAAATAATACTATAATTAATTCACTATCAGGGCTTACAAAAAAAAAAAAAAAAGGGGGAAGCGGGCCTGTGAACGCTAGTTGGGTCACGGAATTTGGCGACCCATAAATTGGGCCCACATTTTGGCGACAGTTGGATTGGGTGGCCAAAATGCACCTCGGCCTCGCAGAAATTGGGTTATTGGAGCCCAATGGACCTGTCCTAACAAGGACCAAATAATTTAGAGCAGAAAACAGGGCAAGAATTACAGGCTACACCCAACATGATGACTGAAGAGCAGAGTTGGAGGAAAAAGAAGAAACATTTAAGACCAAAGACTGCGGAAATCCCACTTCGCTGTTGAAGCAGAACACAAACAAAATGTACTTGAAAGTCAGAATGTCATATTAGAAGACGCCAAAGCCTTACCAGGTATTTGTTTTTCAATTTCTTTAATTTCTTCGGCTGTTTAAATCCTAGGTTTTATGTTTTAACCTAATTGACTAGGGTATTTAAGTACAATTTCTGCCCTTTAATTTTTTGTTCTTTTGTTTTTAACATGATTTAAAAATACTTTTGAAATTGTTTCATATGCTCTAAAGTTTATCTAAGCAAACAGTTTTGCTAAGTAAAAGGGCAATGCATGAGGCTTCCGCCATTGTGGGATCGGGAGGATTCGGATGTATCCGGTCTTTCCTTAAGTCACACAATCGTTGTGAAGGGATGCCGCTCTCATATTCCGCTAGTAAATTAACGAATTTAATTTTGTCAATCTTGAAATTCAATTTGTGAGTCCTCGAATTTAATTTTCTTAAATAGAGGTCAGAGGTTCAAGTCTCAAAAGAGACAAATATATGTTAGTACCAACTAAGGAAAAAAAAAATTTGTCTACAATTTCTCATTTAAAATCTCTTTAAGAATTTATAATAAATATAAAAAATTCTCACGTTGCATTTTTTTAGATTTAAAAAATATACTACTATAAGTTATGTATTTTTAAGTATTACTAATATTATGAAGACTAATATAATTTAAACACATTTTCTCCTTTAATGAAATTACATTTTTATTATTTCACACAGTATACTTTGGTCATTAGCATATGTATAAATATTGAAAACATTTTATACATACACATATATTTAGTACTCTGTAGAACACAAGTGTACAAGCGCTATAAAGGTGCTCTAAAGGTGCTCCTACTGACCAAATTTTAGATTTTGACATTTTTGTGCGCTTCCACTCTGACCAAATTTTAGATTTTACCATTTTTGCACTCCTACTTCCGCTCTTGCATTCGCTCTCATACCAGATTCCGCTGTATGCGACTTAGGTCTTTCCTTCGCATCTATCAGCTTTCGGCCTATGTGACTTAGGTCTTTCCAGGCTGTTTCCATTGTTTGAACCAGTGACTTCTATGTCACGTTCCAGAGGCTGTTCTGCTATGTGAGAAGTTTTATTTTCATCTGTAACAGGTAACAACTTTTTTGTAGCTCGCAGTGCTCATATGGCTATTTGTGCATATCATGATATAAATACATGAATTCGAATAGTGAGGACATGTGCACCATTACACTTTTATTGGGTACAAGAAAAACATCACACTCCAACTACGAGGAGCTGGGTATAGGGTATTGGCTTATGATCTGGTCTTAATCCAACGTGCTAAAACAATCTCTCTTTTGGATCTCTGAAAATTGTCATCCGAATTTCTATCTATGTCGGACTAAGTGACACTTTAACAAAATGATGAATTATTAAGCCAGAGCATCACCGTAGCTCTGTCGTGTCTCAATCCCCATGAAGGACTGAAGCACAGTGTTCTATTTTGTTATTTCTGATGAGATTTATTAATCACACTTAGAATTCATTTACACAATTATAATAATAAGTTGTCCATTTATAAATACAACACCCAAAATTTCAATACACACATCAAGTCATTGAGCTTTCATAACCTCATCCATGTTATAACCTAGCTAAAACATCTATTCTATGAAAAATATATCTGGTAGCACTACAAGTCATGACAAGGGAACATACCAAGAGCAAGATATAAAATCTGATAGCAATAAAAGTTTTGGAGCAACTGATTTTTCATCCATATAATCATTGGAAAATTGCCTTTTGGTTTCTCTCAAATGTAATAAACTGAGGATAATCTTTAAGAGAGTAGCTTTTAGAGATTTCCCATTAAAAGATGAAGAGCCTGCCTATTGATGTCTTCCCAAGTAGTAAATCAACGGAGTGAATTGAATAGAACATTTATAAAGAAGAGAAGTCGATATTCTAAAGGAGAATCGACAGTCGAAGAAGAGGTGGTCATGATTTGCGAAGGAATTTCTGCAGATGCCTCATGGAGGAAATAGTACCATAGTCAAGAAGTTTGTCCCGAGTGCTAAGCTTTGAATAAATTGGTGGACATTACTAGAAAACTAGAGGTGATAATTAACCTTAGTGTGGAGAAATTCAGAGAAGCCCAAGCAAAAGAGTTGGTTCAAGACCTTGAGGAGGGGAATCATCGAATCGAGTTAGGTTGAAGAGGGTTAAAACTAGCTGAATCAAGAATATTATTGATTAAGGACCACCTGATATGATCTTGCATGGAAGAGAGACTGGCCATCTCGACTAAGGCAATGATGATTCCTTCGAATATCCTTCACCTCAGCATTTCTGGAAAGACCAGACTCATGAATTACTCTATCACTATGTAGTTGATTAATGGATCCAAAAGACAACCTGTAGTGAAACCATAGGATGGTTTAGTTGTCATCACCAACAATGTGCTTGATACAAAGTCTGGAGGGGTGTTCCTAATTTGCAAAAGCTTCCTCCATCTCCATGAATATTCTTGGGGAGGTTTGATATATATCTCAAATACTCCTTCCCTTCAGAATAT